AATACTATTCCTTTCTATAAATAATAACTTCAAGAATAAATTTATAAAATAATAATAAGATAATATCAAAAGAAGCTAAAATAATAATAATAAAATAATAATAATAATTAATTAATATAATAGAATTATTTATTTCATTACAATATATTCAAATATTTAACAGTATCAAAGAAAACTAATCAAATTATTAAACAAATCAATCTTATTCTTTATTCCAATAGTGATTCAAAACTGATAACTTATATATAACAGTTTATAAAATTAGTATGCAGTATTATCAGTAATATTTTCTTCTTATTAGACTTCAATAACTGGATCCAGGTATCAACTGAAGTCCTAATATAATTAAATTATACTATATAAAAACTATGATATGCCATAGTCAATATTTCTTCACAAAATAATATAAATGAAAAGAAAAGTTCATCATCAATATAATTAAGAATATTTAAACAACTTCTAGACTAAACTCCCAAAAATCTCTCTTAATACAAGAACTATTAATAACAATTGATTTATTTACTCTAGTTATAGAAGCTTATATTCAAAACAGCTTTCATTTTTCTAAATGCATTACTAAACTAATTTAAAGTTACAGTGCTTATCATAAATAACAGAATTATTTTTTTATATAAAATTTCATAAGGTTATTTATTCGGACTATAGTTTTGCAGTAACATTTATATAATATTTATTAAAAAATCTATGTATATTCCCTGACAAACATTACTGGCTGTTAATCAATTTTGATAGTAATTGGTAAATGAAAGAATTTTTAATTTTAATTTCTAAAAAACCAAATAAAGTTTTTATTTAATTTTTCTATATTTCTAAATTATAACTTTCTAAATTTCAAATTATCTATTTAATATTTAGTAGGATTTTCTTTAGATTTTTTAACTGCTTTGATATAATTAGATATATTAGTTACAAGATTTTGATAAATAGAACTATCAATTTTAAACCATTTTTCTTGTAAAATTAAATAATCCAGTTTCACTAGTTGATAATTCATTCCAAAGATTTTCAATAAGATTGATATTTGGACTTTGGGGTGGCCATGAAAAATTAGAAATATTATTTTCTAACATCCATGTTTGCACCTTATGTGTTTAATAAATTGGTATAATATTATCTTAAAAAATATATTCACTAGATTAATTAAAACCCCTCAAATAAGATAATAAAAAATTATTAAGTACTTCTATATAATTAATTGCAGTTTGCTATCCATTAATTCTAATTAATGGTCCTAAACTATTTGCAGTAAAACATCTCCAAATCATTATATCTTTTTGATCAGATTTAAATATTAGTATAACACAATTTACATCATATTTTTCTTTAGATAACTGCTACACATAATTATGACTATCTCCTTTATAAATTTCAAACCAGGATTTATTACTCCAGACAATAAAATTCTATTCAAGATTTTAATTTAATTTTTTATTTGCCTATGTTAGATGGATTTTATGATTTTTTTCACTAATATATGATTTTCTTTTATCAATTTGTATAAAAAAACCTTTCTTATAAAGATATTGTTGAATAGTACATGTAGAAACTTCAATTGATGTTGATTGTATAAATTCTTTTTGTAAATTATTTAAAGTAGCTTTTTTGTTTTTTTTAGTAATTTGAGTTAAATGTTGAACAGCATGTTTGGTTAAAGCAGGTGGCTTTTCAGTTCATAATAAGGGTTTTATTTCTTTAGACATTTTGTAATAATTTATTATATCTTTAACTATTGAAAGAGAAAATTCAAACTTTCTTGCAATAGTGAAAACTGAAACATCACACTTCCAGGCACCAACTATTTGACTTTGTTAATTTTCTGATAATTCTTTCCATTTTTGTTTCATTACAAACAAACATAAACACAAACAATAAAAAAACTGGTTTTTTTAAAAATTCAAGCTTTAGGGATTCTGACCATATATATTTTATACAATATACAGCTTACAATTACAATAAAATTAGTCTTAACAAATTTTTTCATTTAATGATTATTATCAAAATTGATTGATGGCTGGTGACTTTTGTCAGGAGAGTGTATATCTAATAATTGAATTTTCCTATTATTTTAACAATATCATTTAATTGTCCTAATATTCCATTTATCAAATTAAGATATAGGTCTACAAAAATACCCTCACATTCTTCTTAAATTATTTCATACTATTGTATAATACTAATTTTTTTTTAATTATTTTGCTTACTCATTTATTTACTCTTTTTTTAATAATAGCTTATAAATTTTTTATTGAATTTATATCAGGGCTATAGGAGAGTCAATCGAGAATCTTTAGAACTTGACAATGAAGAAGTTCAGTTGTGTCTTTTACTATATGCTTTGGATTGTTATCCTACTGAAAGATCCAATGCAATGGTATAATTCTAGATGTATTTTCAAAAAGATTATTAGTTAAAATATTGCGATAAAATAATCCATTCATATTTTAAGTAAAAATATAAAAGCTGATTGTTCTGCACACCAAGAAAACATCCTATGCATGAACTTTTGCTAGATGTTTTGAAACTTTCTTTTGTAGAACATTCATTCTAGCCTTATAAAATGCTGTTATGATGTTATGAAATATTTAAAAGATAGTTTCATTCGAAAATATAACATTTTTCAAGTTCTGTTTTGCATAAGCAGTTTCCTATTCTAAATGTTGTTTGCATTGTTTCATGATAAGTAAAGGTACTATTTTGAGTAACTTGAGCAGTAATCAAGCTTATTAAGCTCATGATTTATCATTTGCGCTGATATTTTAATTTTATTACTAAACATAAAAATGATTTCTTCATAGGTAAGGTATTAATTATTTTGAATAATTCTTTCTAGCATATGTCAATTTGAAGAAGTTAAAATTGTTGGTTATTCAGGATGCAAAATAGGTTCAAGTTTATGATTTTTTTTTAGTTGAGTAATATACTTGTATGTTATAGAAAACAAAATATTATTTAATTTTGCCAGAGTCAGGGCATTACAAACACTATAGTTTTAAAGCTCACTTATGGTCTTTTGTTAGTTAGCAAGAGTGATTTTCTCTATTTTAAGATAAAAAAAAAGCAGGAAAACTAAATAGGAATGTGTTTTTTAGTAACTTGTTTTTAAGTTACACGTATAAACGAATCATCATTAAAGATTGATTTTGTTAGAAGTGCATAATAAGAAAATTTATATATAATAATTATGTGTTATTAAATTCTTATTATTTATAATAATTACTGTATATTAATATTTACTCTTTTAGTACTAAGTAGGTATACATAACTACTTAGTATCTTTTAACAAAATATATTGTTTTAAATTTTATTTTCAATATTAGTTATTTGGTTTTTATAGACAATCTAGCATTGAACTTATTGTATTTGCTTATAAAAAATATTGTTTTTTTTACAATATATATTTTAATATATAAATTAAATAAAGAAATAATATTTATTTATCAAAAAAAAATTAATTATAAATAATTACTCGCAATTATAAGTTAATTATTAATAAATAACTCTAAAAAAATTTCGAATAAAATTAACAAATAAAAGTAATTAAAAATATTATATATTAAAAATTTAAAAAAACTCTTTCTGCAAAATCTCAAATTTTTCAAAAATTACCTTTTTTAATAATTTTAAGAAAGCTTCCAAGAAATACATTATCTTTAACTGCTAAAGCATACAACACTATAACTAAATACAAACAACTGTTCAAAAAGGTACAGCTTCTTGTTAGTTCACTTGTTACTAACAATTTCTTGCTTGTTCTTCCTCTCTTTTCCAAGGCAAATTTCATAGCAGGAAAAAGAAGACACAAGCAATACAATTCACAGTAAACTCAAAGAAAAGTCAGCATCAACCCTCCTAGCTTCTAGCCAGTCGTGTACAAGGTTCTGCATCTCCTTAGACATCAGAAGAATCGTTGCTGGTCAGATTTCACCCAATAAATTAGGCAACCTAGGCACCAGACAAAAAATAAGGGATGCCAGACTTTTCAAAGAGAAGTCCAAGAGAAGGACTCCAAACAATAAACGACAACACAGCAATCAATATTAATATTTCTAAGTTATGTGACAAATTTTTCTGATCAGAGAAAAAACCAGATCCAGTTTACTCCCAACAAGTGATTGGCATTACCATCACGTCAAATAAATTAAACACATAAACACGTCCAGCATCAAAACAAACACGTCAACAACATAGTCATACCACAATTACAATCACGTCATCAAACTAACATATCACCAAATCAAACATGTCAACAGCATAATTATGAAACATATCAACAATAACAATTCCAACACGTCAACAATAACAACTCCAACATGTCAACCACATCAACGTGTCAACACATAAATGTAAACACGTCCAAAGCAAACCAACAAAAACACATGTTCAGTTCTACCCTACATCTAAACAATGACTGAACCAGACCACATAATGATCATGGGTAGCAAAAACCCAATTCCAACAATAACGCCTCACACAAATGTCAACAGTAACAACAATTTATTATTAGATATTATTCTTGTTAATAGAACCCGATGCCACGTATCTATTATCTATCAAAATGAGAATCAAGAAGTCACTCTAACAGACCCATCCAGATCAACAACAACTCCCTTGCTCAGCAATTACCCAACAAAGTGGCTCATTCCCACCACAAATATCACCAAACCAGAGTTCTCAAGTTTATTAATATTCCAAATTGAGTTCATAGTTTCGAAGGACCATAAAAGCATGTCAACACAAGTATCAGTCCTTAAAGAAAAACCTCTCCAAATCCTAGACGAATTCTTGAACTTTCAAAACTCACTTCAAAAAATCTTTGCAAATAACGGCCAGCTCAGAAATGAGGTGCTTCAAAAAGTACTAGTGAAAGGTTGGAACTATTCGAAGCACATATCCTGGAACATGATTCAAATAAATAAAAACACACAAAAAAAAGCAAAAACATTCATTCTCACAACATCTTATCAATTGGGAAAAACAAATCAGCTACTCACTATACAGACTCCACCTTCTGGTAAGATAGATCCATTTCCCAAGACTGTTAACAAGCTGACAGATCAACCGGACCCAAGAACAACCACCAATTCAAAACATCAACCAAATAAAACTCTTAACCAATTAGAACCCAGCCGCCATACAGAAAACGGCCAACCAGACATGCCAAATATAACAACCAATCAATTACATCCATTAGAACAAGATCTACATAAAGATAATCAATCAATGTCCATCGA